TAAATATACATTGTTGATGTTGTAAACGAATTGAACCGTCTGTTGTGTAAGGTAGCCTGAAGCTGAATTGCAGAGAAGGAAGTTCGACCGAGATATAATACTGCATCGGACATTGTTACCCGAGTATTCGCCGCGAGGCATATGTCGTCACCCTGCTATTGGTCGACTCGCAGGGAGAAACAATTATGTTTTGGGAGAATTCAGACAATGACGAATCGCTGGAACATTAAGTGCAATAATGTTTTTTTATTTAAAGGTTACTAAGTCATTTTTATTCGATCGTTAACATACAATTCACATTTACAAGTACTGGTGGTTATAAAACACACACATTGCCACGTGAATCGCTGTGAACTGAATACGATATAGCACAAAGGTGGTGTGTACATATGTCATACGCAGTGCTGAGGTACGATGATGTTTGTTTGTTTGTTTGTTGTTTAACGCCGCACTCAGCAATAGTCCAGCTATAGGACGGCGGTCTGTAAATAATCAAGTCTGGAAACAATCCAGTGATTGACATCATGACCATCGATCCACGCAATTGGGATACGATGACATGCATCAACCAAGTCAGCGAGCCTGGCCACCCGATCCCATTAGTTGCCTCTTACGACAAGCATAGTCACCTTTTACGGCAAGCATGGGTTGCTGAAGACCTATTCTACCCCGGATCTTCACGGGTACGATGATGTACCCCTTCAAAATGTCATGCCTGACCTCGACTCCCACCTGCTCTCACCGGGAGAAGTGATTCATCACTCTTGATGTGATGAGGAAGAAACTGAGATTGGGGAGTGAGACTGAGACTGGTTGAACTGACAGTCAGGGCGCGGGTCGTTGTAGATGGTGTGTGTGCGCGTGCGTCCAAGGATTGTTTTAAAAAAACACTTTCGTCTGTACAGTTATCACGTTTTAGTGAATAGTGAAAAAGTTTAACATTCCTTTCATAGGTAGAATTTAAAACGTGACTTGAAACATTCCCAGCTCTCTTTTATGAAGAAAACACACCTCAGCCCTAAAAGTGAAGAAAACAACATGACACCCCAGCTCAACCCATATTAAATGGTCTTAGTAAAACTATTACATGTGGCTACCCCGTGTGGAATCTCGGTCAGAATAGATCCCAAACTTAAGCTCCTTATGCCTATCTTTACGAGGCTACCAGATGGATCAAGAGACCATGCTGTATATGTGCCATTGATTGCGTGCCATTGCACCAGACAGCGAGGGATGTGGCTCGTAATATCAATCACTGCATTGTGTGGTCCAGACTCGATTAATTACAGGCCACTACAAATAAACATATACACAAACCGGTTTCTACGACATGGTGCTGCTCTATGTATTTAATATGCCTACAATCACGGTAAATAAAGTACCGCGTGTTTTGTGGTTTTGCTGTTTTTAACCTGGGTGAAATTTCCGTTAGGATTTGCAAGCCTACAGACATTAAGTCACAACGAACACAACAAAAGGGGATACGTATTTCTCTCTAGATTGTTTCAGTCTTTGAAGTAAGAATAGAATGTTTTTTAACGGGCGATTTCTTCATCAAAAACATGTTTGAACATTTCATTATTTCCTGCACGGCTTACATCCTTTTGAAGGATTGTAATACTGATGTCAACAGCTACAATATCGTGTCATAGACTACAGACAGGGATAGCATACTTTACACCGTGCCACCATATCCCTTTTGTGTCGTGAAACATCACTCGCGAACTATTTCATGCACTGTTATTGTCCTAGTTACACAACTTCCAGGGTATGTCTCAGTATTGATCACAATAGAATGGGGATATCATATTCTGTATGTTCGGGGATACAAAGTATACTTGGCTGGTCGTAACACTGATGTCACCTCACTGTGGACACCCGTGAACATCCGGGTTAGAATAGGTCTTCGGCAACCAATGCTTGCCGTAAGAGGCGACTAACGGGATCGGGTGGTCAGGCTCGCTGATTTGGTTGATGCATGTCATCGTACCCCAATTTCTTGGGTCGATGCTCATGATATTAATCACTGGATTGTCTGGTCCAGATTCGATAATGTACAGAGCGCCGTCATACAGCTGGAATATTGACGAGTGCGGTGTTAAACTGCAAAGAAACAAACACACTTTGGATTAGTTTGCGCTGATGTCTCGCCCACATAGCACATATAGATAGATAAGGTCAAGGTCTTAAGGTCAAGTTCACGGTGGGCGTGATGAGATCCCAATGCTGCACGTGAAACTGATGCACGAGAATAACACAAAGAGGTCGGTTACTTGAGAATACATTTACACACGTATATTAGTTACACACGGATTGATCAATCCCGAAAATATATGACAGAAATCTGATTTTTCATAATCATAAAAATAATTAAGCACATTGGCACATTAAATTTGATCTGTGATTATATCCATATTAATCAGATCGTGATTTTTCGATAAATATACGTCAATACTTATCTTTTTTCAATATTTTAAAGAATTCGGTTTGATGCTGGAGTAAGGTTTTTTAACAGATTTAATATTGTTGATTGTTGGTAAAAATACCTAATACGAAAACAGCATAGGCTAACTTGGAATATGTCGTGCACTTTCTTTTCATGTTGTACAGTTATTTATAATTTTCACTCAGCAATAAATTACACTATATTCACAATTATGAAACTGTGGGTAGGGCAGCTGAAACCTTAGACCTCTTACCCTGTTTGGGATGGGGTGGGGTTGGGAATTCTGGGTCATAATACAGCTTCATGTAATCCGACCTCAAAGTTGATTTTATATTTTTGATTTTCAATTGAAAATATTTTAAGTTAGCGACGTTATATCCAAAAAATACACAACTGCTGGTGGTATCTTAGGCATTGTATCTTTGAAAATCAATACTTAAGCTTTTTTCGGCACATGGTAGTGTCATGTGGCTGCAAGCTCATTTCTTACCCCTCTTTTCGTTGAAACAATATATTTTTTACTTTTTACAAACTGTTGCAGGAATGAGTGATGATTATTAAAACATGTAATCAGATTTAACAAGAATTCTTTCAAGTTTCGATTACATTTACACCAAACTCGATATGCTATTTTTTTACCCTCAGTTTAGTCCTTCCTGTTTCTCGGGGATCGGCTAGTCAGGGCCTGTGGCATTGCTGTTTGTGTGCATATAATTTACCGACGGGTGACCCCCGTATGGTTTCCGGGTGAAAGGTCGAAAGAGGGGACCAAAGAATTGGGTGGTCATGTTCGGTGACTTTGTTGATTTGTTTGTTTGTTTGTTTGTTGTTTAACGCAGCACTCAGCAATATTCCAGCTATATGATGGCGGTCTGTAAATAATCTAGTCTGGACCACACAATCCAGTGATTAATATCATGAGCATCGATCCTAGCAATTGGGATACGATGACATGCGTCAACCAAGTCAGCGAGCCTGACCACCCGATCACGTTGGTCGCCTCTTACGACAAACATGGTCACCTTTTACGGCAAGCATGGGTTGCTGAAGACCTATTCTAACCCGGATCTTCACAGGTCGACTTGATTGATTGAGTGCTATTGTACCCCAAAGGCGTGGATCGTTGCTCACAATATTGATCCCTGGGTTGTCTGATCCAGATTCGATTATCTACTGGACGCCGCCATACACCTGGCATATTGCTGAGTGCGGCGTTAAACAACAAACAAACAAACAAACATGGTAAATACATGAAGCCTGAAGGAATGCATTAACTCCCTAATCCGTGCTTTCTGTGTCTGTAAACATTGCATTATGCCTACCTCGTGTAACCCGACACTCACGCCCCCCTGGACGCCGCATTTGACAAAATATAGATAAAAGAATAACAGTTTTAAAAGAAATTATGAAATACCCATTTCTATTAATTCTGAAGCCGAAGGTCTGCTGCTAAATGCATGTATGTTTTGGGCTGACGTGAAAACGGGATGCGCGGAGGCCAACTTGGAACTTCGTAAAGACAGAGAACGGTTGGCAGGGCCAACAATGGTCTGAGGCGCGGTAGCTGGATCAGGATCCGATGGTCATGCTAATGATCCTTGGCCTGTCAGCAGCGTGATCGCGGGGTGACCTGTCACTTTCTGCTGCCCTCCCTCTTTAAGTGCTGTTCGACAAGGCGTTAAAATCGCTTCCAACTTTCTAGTCACCTTAGGTCAACCAAAGCCTTTCTTTCTCTTTCCTCCGGTAACATTCTCGGGCGGTTTCCTGGGTTTAGTGCACGAAATGGGCAGGTAACTCTAACTACATTTCATGTCATCTTCTCGAGGCAAGGGAGTTAACTGACTGTAAAACTCCACTTTCCACCCTTGCCGAAATAGGTTGGAATTACGGAGTTACTTCCGGTTTGTAAACAACAAGAAATTCAACACGCAGATTCTCGATCGACTGCAGGATTAGTAAAGCATGTGTACCGTCAAATGGACGTCTTCAGATATTTTCCAAATCTTTTCATGTTTTTTAATCAAGGTGCTCAAATGATTTGATGGACTTCACCAGGTAGGACCCATTTTATTACAACATAGATCTTGATTATCGATCAGATCGTCTTCACTGGGCGCCGCCATCTTGTTTGAAACAGATGCAAGTGTCATGAGAGGTGGAATCTGATTGGTCAATAGTAGGGACATGGAAGGGACATAACTTGTAATAGCCACTGGTGTCCAGCCTAGTTCGGCAAGGATAGACACTGGACTTTTACAATCAGTTAACTCCCTTGCTCCGGGAAGATGGCTTCATGTATGATATAGTAACCTGTATTTCTGTTTTGTTTGTTTGTTGAATAACGCTTCACTCAGCAATATGCCAGCTGTATGACTACGGCCTGTAAATAATCGAGTCTGGACCACTGATTGATACTGAAAGCATCGTTCCACGACCTTGGGTTACTATGGCAGGCAACGACCAGCCAAGACACGGAGTTTGATGCAATGCTCTTGGAATTGTCTTCTGATGCAAAACAGAAACCAGACAAAAAGAATGACAAACACTTGAAAACTAATCTTGCACCTTTTATTAATATTAATTACTATATGGACAATACATTAATGTGTTTCGTCCACTAAATGCGACAAGGAAGATTCTGCGTTACCAACAAGATACACATACAATAGCAATTAAAAGGGATGAATCCACTATTGTTTGGTCTCGTAATAAATTTTATTTCTTCCAACTGTTCAAACGTATATATTCGGTAATGGGTATTAATGGTTATATAATCATTTTAGTGTGAAGCAAAATACCGTATTTCCTTTATATATACATTTAGAATCGGCCCATATTTTAGATGCAAGGGCCTCGTTCCACAAAGCTGTCTATCGCTACGAATGGCGTAAGTCTATGTTAAACTATGGGAGTTGCGATTGTCTTTGCGCTAAATTTGCTTTGCTAAGATTTCTTTGTAGAACGCAACACAGGTACTTGGTCCATTTACAAGGGACGAGCATGGAAGGCTTAGTTTAGTGAACTGCGTGGTATTCAAATGACGTTTGTTATTGTGTGTTTGTTGTTTAACACCACACACAGCAGTATTCCATCTATATGATGGCGGCCTGTAAATAATCGAGTCTGGACCAGAAAATACAGTGATGGACACCATGAGCACCGATCTACGCAATTGGTATGTAATTGGTAAGCATCAAACAAGTCAGCGAACCTGACCACCCGAACCGATAATAAATTCTCCCCGAAATTTCTTGCAAGACACATTTCTGTTTCATTTTGTTAGGAAAAATGGAAATTGTCTTCTACAAAAAATACATTGTTGCAAAGTGTTGTTTACGAAAAAAATATATGGGCGCATGGTTTTAATAGAAAAAAAAATATCAGGTTTTGCAGCTGAACCTGAAAAAATATCTGGTCTCAATACCAAATTCAAGGCCCCCCTCCAGAATATCAAATGGTGTTTACAACACACTTAGAAATATTCATCGACTAGTTCATCCGACCTCGCCAAAGCGCCCTCTATCCACGCTTGGCTGTCATGGAATGCGAACACGGACCCCACTGTGTACACGTGGTCCTTGCTGGAGGGACGCGTCATCGTCTTTCTGACGTCATCCCAGTCGTATCCAGGCAACCACATATTGTAGCCTCCTCCGAATGGGTAGTCGTCCCACACTGACAATGCCCCTGATATGGGGTCAGGAATTTGCCGGGTCTCAAGTCCAAAGATCTCCGCCAGGTGGCGCTTAATGTGAGCAACCATCTTGGTTGTGACAGCATAGGGTGTTTTAATTGTCCCGCGGATGGGCTTGCCAAGTTTTGATAGCTGTTTCCAATAAGAGATATCATTGTCTTTATACGCAACAAGAAGCACGGCTCTTCCAGTATCTGGTGACACTCCCCCTTTCAATACAAAGGAAAGAGGCAAATCCGTAGTGACTTTTGAAAAAGTCACGTTGAGCTCATCCCACCATGGGCTACGGAAGCCAAGGTATATTTTTGCAATTGGCGTATCAGTGACGGACGAAATGTAGCGTTTGAAAAGTCGATGTTTCTTGAAACCATGCCAGTTAATTCCTGCAAGCGCCATTCTTGGAAGAGCCAAGATCACTTTCTTTGCGCATGTCTTTACAAATGACTTTCTTCCCTATAAATCAGAAAAAGGTTTATATGACATATGCAAACATTTCGAGATAAATTTACTTAATAGATGTATTAGAGATAATTTTTGTACATGTACTAGAAATTAACCATTATATTACCAACACAATTTCTTCAATTTCTTCATTTTATGTAGCCAAAGGTTCATAGATCGGGTAATTTTTCCGTTAAAGGCAGCCTGTCTTCGTTCGATTAGCATATGAATCGTTTTACCATAGAGGTATGACTTACGAATTTGTCCCGGGTATAGCCATCTTTCTTAGTTACCGTTTCCTTAAACGTCAGCTGATACTTCCGTGACGGTAGAGTCTGTATCTTAGTCAAACGGCGATTAAGATGTAACCGGTTGCTGAAGACAAGGGTATTATGAGTTACTTATGTATAGGTAAAAAAACAAAAGTGAAAATTTAAACAATGACCATCGTGAATGAGGTAATTCCCATTCTGATACACTCCATATACACGTGGTCATTCCTAGAACACCCGACCCTCCCCGTTGACAGTTGACATACTTTACATACACGTGGTCATTCCTAGAACACCCGACTCTTCCCGTTGACAGTTGACATACTTCACATACACGTGGTCATTCCTAGAACACCCGACCCTCCCCGTTGACAGTTGACATACTTCACATACACGTGGTCATTCCTAGAACACCCGACTCTTCCCGTTGACAGTTGACACACTCCACATACACGTGGCAATTCTTAGAACACCCGAGCCTCAACGTTGACATGCTTCACATACACGTGGCCATTCCTAGAACACCCGACCTCACCGTTGACAGCTGACATACTCAATATACACTTGACCATTCCTAGAACACCCGACCCTCCCCGTTGACAGTTGAAATACTTGACACACACGTGGCCATCCCTTCAACACCCGACTCTCCCCGTTGAAGTTGACATGCTTCACATACACGTGGTCATTCCTAGAACACCCGACTCTCCCCGTTGACAGTTGACATACTCCAAATACACGTGGTCATTCCTAGAACACCCAACCCTCCCCGCTGACAGTTGACATACTCAATATACACTTGACCATTCCAAGGACACCCGACCCTCCCCGTTGAAGTTGACATACTTCACATACACTCAACGGGGAGGGTTTGGGTGTTCTAGGAATGGCCACGTGTATTTGGAGTATGTCAGCTGTCAACGGTGAGGTCGGGGATGAGTGAGTGAGTATGGTTTTACGCCGCTTTTAGCAATATTCCAGCAATATCACGGCGGGGGACACCAGAAATGGGCTTCACACATTGTACCCATGTCGGGAATCGAACCCGGGTGTTCGGCGTGACGAGCGAACGCTTTAACCACTAGGCTACCCGACCGCCCCTGACCGCCCTAAGACCGCTCTAAGAGTGAGTGAGTCAGTCAGTGAGGTTTAACGCCGCGTTTAGCAATATTCCAGTACTATCAGGGCGGGGGAACGAGAAATGGGCTTCACTCATTGGTGAATTGAACCCGGGCCTTCGGCGTGATGAGCGAACGCTTTAACCACTAGGCTACCGCCCCGCCCCACAATGTAAGTGAAGGATGCGTGAGTTCCTGAGCCAGCCTAAAACGATTCGGCTGCATCTCTTCACCAACTCTATTCGGAAAGAAGCTCTATCTTAGCACAAGAAAAGTGCCACAGAATGCAAATATACCCTTTATAGAACGCACTTTGGGTGAGGATGACAGGCGCCCAGAAACGACAGTATGTGTAACATATCTACAACATTATACAAATGAAGAGCTTAGCGCCATAAGGGTCAATGTCATGTGGAGTCCGTTTTGAAAAAAGTAATGAAAACCATAACCATATGCCTGCAAATGAACAGTAATGCAACTCAGTTTATAGCTCCATCAGAATGGGTCTCCTACTTTAAAAATATTTTGAATATAACTGATTATGATGTTGATCATGATAATCTTGCTTCCGCTGAGAGTTTTGTTTATGAACACGAGGAATCTAACTGTTTTGTCTGTAATGATGAAGAATTAAATGATATTTTGAATTGTGAAATCACTGAACCAGAAATTTTACATGCTATTAATCATTTGAAAGATGGTAAGGCGGCTGGTCCCGATGGAGTTCTACCAGAAATGATAAAGTGTTGCAAGGGTAATCTTCTTCCTTATCTAGTTATATTATATAACGCTATTTTGCATAGTGGTAATTTTCCTGAGGATTGGGCTCGAGGTTTACTTACTCCCCTTCATAAGAAAGGCAGCAAATTTGATGTTAACAATTATAGGGGTATTACACTTAGTGATGTATTGGGTAAAATATTTACTTTTATTCTTAATAAACGGCTTACTATGTTTTGTGACATTTACGATAAGATACCAGAGTCTCAGGCAGGTTTTAGGGCTGGATACAGCACCGTTGATAATATATTTGTGTTGCAAAGTCTAATACAGAAATACTTATCTAAAGCTAATGGCAGATTTTACTGTTTATTTGTTGATTTTAGAAAAGCCTTTGATTGTGTAAATAGAAAATTGTTGTGGTATGTCATGTTAAATAAGGGTATACATGGAAAGTTATTTTATGTCATTAAAGATATGTATTTAAAAGTGGCATCGGCTGTAAAGTTATCAAATAGCACAGCAACTTGCTACTTTGAAACGCTAAGTGGTGTACGCCAAGGCTGCACCCTTAGCCCTATATTGTTCTCTTTGCTTATTGTTGAATTAGAATCAATGTTGCACTCCTCCGGCGAGAGGGGAATATTTGTGAGTCAAGAATCTCTAGACATTTTGTTGTTACTATATGCCGATGATTTGTGCATAATTGATGATACTGTAGTTGGTCTCCAACGAAAACTTAATATCCTTAAATCTTTCTGTACTAAATGGGGTTTAGAAGTTAACCATAGTAAGACTGAAATTTTAGTTTTCAGAAATGGTGGAAAACTTAGGAGTACTGAGAAATGGAGGTTTGGAGATGTTAATGTTAAAGTATCTACCTATTATAATTATCTAGGTTTGTTATTTTCAAATCGGCTGTGTTGGACGACTGGTATCAACTCTCTTGTTCAGAAGGCAAATAAGGCTCTGTTCGTCGTTAAGAAATTACAGCATTGTTTGAAGAACATACCCGTACATATACTTTTTAAAATATTTGACATTCAAATTAAGCCTGTATTATTATACACTTCAGAAATATGGGGCTATTCAAAAATTGCAGCTATTGAAAAATTTCAGATTAAATTCTGTAAATTTACTATTGGAATTGGAAGTCATGTTACAAATGTTGCTGCCCTTGGCGAATGTGGTAGATATGGCTTATTTATTGATTATCACAAGAGATGTATTAAATATTGGTTGAAATTGTTATCTTTACCCAGTTATAGATACCCTAAGCAATGTTATTTAATGCTGAAATCTTTAGATGAAGTTAATCGCACTACATGGGTAACTTGTGTCAAAAGACTATTATTCAGTTATGGATTTGGCCACGTGTGGATTTCGCAGGAAGTTGGTAATGAGAACCTCTTTATTAATGCATTTATTCAAAGGTTAAAAGACTGTAACCAACAGGACTGGTATTGTAAAGTTTGTGAAATACGTAAATTATCAATGTATAAGGAATATAAGTCATTGCTAACAGTTGAAAAGTATCTCTGTGAAATCACAAGCCGTCATTATAGACGTATGTTTTGTTTGTTAAGAATTGGCGAGTTGCCATTGATGGTAAATTTAGGTAGAAGATGCGGTATAGAGTACTGTAATAGGCAGTGCAGATATTGTAATTTACAGGAAATTGAAGATGAGTTTCATTTTATGCTTGTCTGCCCATGTTACAGATATTTAAGAAATAAGTATTTACCTATTTATTACTCTTCCAATCCTACCTTATTTAAATATAATACTCTATTATCTTGTAACCGCACTAGTATTGTAACTAATTGTGTTAAGTATATACTGGAAGCACTTGCAATCCGAAATACTGTCACTTAATACCCTCTGTCATCTGCCTCATACTGTATTTTTCAATGAGTATTTGTACGTGGGCCTATGGCCTTTATACTGAAATAAAGAATTGAAAATGAACATTTTTTATTCACCGATAAATTCCTCAACTTTAACGCATTCCGACAGCAGACATATAAATGTTGCTATAAAAAAAAACATTCCAAAAAGTAAATAAACTTAGTTTTTAATTTGTGTAAGGGCGGAAATAGTCTAAAAGGGCCAATGTCTGTATTTTGGCCCTTTTTACCCTCAAGCATTTGCATGGGATTTAACATGTGAAATTACTAATGAAAGTATAAACAGATACTATTGAAAATCTTTTAAATGATTTAAACTAATGCCAACTTTATTGAAATAGTTGAAACAGAATAATAATGTTTCCAAACTTTCAAAATCTCTTGAACCATCCATGGAAATGATAGCTAAAAGGACTCAAATCTAGCAAAGTGACTTTGGCCCTTTCGGAACTTGACTCTGGCCCTTTTACAGAATGTTAAGTAGCTATATTTCAAAAACTTATCAATGTGATAGAAACAATATTTTTTCCTACAAGTAGACAAGAACTCATAGATGTTATTTATGCAATAATATGCAAAAAAGGGCCAAAGTGCATTTTGGCCTCTTTTGGCTCTAAGCTCTTCAAATACGGCTTTATTTATGCATTCGAAACTCAGACATGCAGAAACCATAATATTATGTGGCTGAATGCTTCCCTCACGCGTACCGAGAATTTTGAAGACACAATGCTGAATTGGCTGATTTGATTTTACCTGATTTGAAAGGTGTTCAGATCTTCAGGCAGAGATGTATCGTATCGGAGTTAAAGATTTTATTCTGATGAGACTGTCAGCATTGCCACGTGCATGTCCTCGCACAACTTCCTGACAACCCACTAACAGAATCACGTGACACGCTTACCTTTGTCCCTCCAGGGCCGCTTTCAACAATGACTTAGGGAGATGGTCCATCCCATTCTTCAGGGTTTTGTAAGGGGAGTTGTTGGACCAGCCTTTTGGACCAGACAAGGGGATGTGCACTGCGGCGCTTGTTGATCCAAAGAAACTTTGAAAACCCTCGGTATCCCGGATGTAACTGTAGGCCTCTTCACTCGCAACACTACGAAACATGCCCTCGTAACTGCAAAGGTAGAGTTAATAGTAAGCTCAACATGTTTAACGTTTTGCATGCATAGGTACAAAATAGTACTTACAAAACAAAATGAAAAGCCCCCGTTTCTAAATGAAATGGCCCACTCTTTTATTAAAGACGGGTGAGAAGGTGTCGTATGACTTGTTTTATGTTTTTATTTGACGGGATGCATTGTTATGATCACGAAACCAAAGGCCAAAACTAAGCGTTTGTCTATCTCCAATTGCAAACTCGGCGTCAGACAAAAATCCGCCCCTGTTTTACGGAACTCTTTATATACGTACTCGGTGTTACGTCCACCATCATGGTGGGTGTTACGTCCGTCATCATATATGTACTTGGTGTTACGTCCGTCATCATATATGTACTTGGTGTTACGTCCGTCATCATATATGTACTGGGTGTTACGTCCGTCATCATATATGTACTCGGTGTTACGTCCACCATCATATATGTACTGGGTGTTACGTCCGTCATCGTATATGTACTTGGTGTTACGTCCGTCATCATATATGTACTGGGTGTAACGTCCGTCATCATATATGTACTGGGTGTAACGTCCGTCATCATATATGTACTGGGTGTTACGTCCGTCATCATATATGTACTGGGTGTTACGTCCGTCATCATATATGTACTGGGTGTTACGTCCGTCATCGTATATGTACTTGGTGTTACGTCCGTCATCGTATATGTACTGGGTGTTACGTCCGTCATCATATATGTACTGGGTGTTACGTCCGTCATCATATATGTACTTGGTGTTACGTCCGTCATCATATATGTACTCGGTGCTACGTCCGTCATCATATATGTACTGGGTGTTACGTCCACCATCATATATGTACTGGGTGTTACGTCCACCATCATATATGTACTCGGTGTTACGTCCATCACCATAAACGTACTCGGTGTTACGTCCGTCATCATATATGTACTGGGTGTTGCGTGCATTATCATATACGTACTGAGTGTTTCGTTCATCATCATATACGTACTCGGTGTTACGTCCGTCATCATATATGTACTGGGTGTTACGTCCATCATCATATACGTACTGGGTGTTACGTTCATCATCATATACGTACTCTGTGCTACTTCCATCAGCATATACGTACTCTGTGTTACGTCCATCATCATATACGTATTCGGTGTTACGTCTATCATCATATATGTACTCTGTGTTACGTCCATCATCATATACGTACTCTGTGTTACGTCCATCATCATATACGTATTCGGTGTTACGTCTATCATCATATACGTACTCTGTGTTACGTCCATCATCATATATGTACTCTGTGTTACGTCCGTCATCCTATACGTCGATGTACTTTGTGTTACGTCCACCATATACGTACTCGGTGTTACGTTCATCATCACAACGTCCTCGGGGATACTTTCATCGTCATATGCGTTATCTGTGTTACGTCAATCATCATATACGTACTATGTGTTGCGTCCATCAACTTATACGTACTCTGTGATACGTCCATTATCTCATACGTATTCGGCGTTACGTCCGTCATCATATACGTACTCTGTGTTGCGTCCATCATCATATACCGGTGGCATGGATGGTCACGTGATATCGTGCCCGGATGAGGTGGGTCGTTTGCCAATGGTTCAATCAACGGTTTATTTGGTCCAGGTGTGATATATCTGGACTGTTGCTGACTGCGGCTTTTCACAACATTCACACACTAACTTACCTCTGATCATGGAGCAGCAGGCCATCACGTGTAGATATCTGGAGCAGATCTTTCCCTATCCGGAACTCACGGGGACCCCGATCTGTGTAGTTGGTGTTCTCGGAAAAAACCTTCCTAGAAAATCACTGCAACCTTTTAATTCTTTTTGTACACTCGTCATTACATTTTGCTGTTAAAATAATACACATACCTTACAAAATACATGTGCAGCCAAGAAAGCAGCATACATCCCTGCTTACTGACAAGATAAATACCCAGCTACCCTGACCGTTATGTTCAAACATCAGTCCGATGTTTCTGGCAGAGTGTCGTATAACGTCACATGGGTACACAGCGTTATGGGGAAACGCTGTTCCATTGGGCAAACGCGGAGTTATTCGCCGCGCACCTGGTGACCCATTCGCCTAAGGCAAAGAGTTAAGCTACATCGACCTTGCCGGGGGTGAAGTGAGGTGAGGTGAGGTGAGGTGAAATGGGGTTTAACATCCCCTCCAAGATTATAGCACTTATATAGCGACGTGTGTGTGCGTGTGTGCGTGCGTGCGTGCGTGCGTGTGTGCGTGCGTGCGTGCGTGTGCGTGCGTGCGTGCGTGTGCGTTTGTTTACGTGTGTGTGTTCGTGTGTGTGTGTGTGTGTGTGTGTGTGTGTGTGTGTGTGTGTGTGTGTGTGTGTGTGTGTGTGTGTGTGTGTGTGTGTGTTTAACATGAATACCCCACTCAGGCATAATACATTGACTCCGAGACGACCAGTTCTGATTTTGATAAATTAAATGATATTTCATACATTTTGTACAATCATACCCTTCACTATAAAAGAAACGACACTAGGAATGCAATTGCAAAATGTATGCACTCCACTCCCATCTATCTGCCGTATTTCATTAACAAAAATCAAAGTAATCGGATATTATGAATACGGTCCTGGTATGATAATAACACTAAATACATAGGTGTAGTGCGCCATTGCCCATCCGTTAAAACATGCTCAAAGCGCTACCACCATTATAACCACGATCGATGAACCAGTGTGCACTCGATTTTCTTTCCAAGCTACCTGGGGAGTTTTCAACCCAAGCTGACTGCGGCGTTAAACAACAAACAAACAAAAGCTAAACAATGTATGTGTGTTAGTTTGCAACCGCTCTTCCAAATCCGCGCCATACTTCACACTTGTTTGAAGTGCAGGATGTTTTACGCGATATTCATAGAGTGTTTTATCGGTCATAGAATCTATGCCTTGGTTACGTCACAAACATAAACACTGAATGATTTCAATGCGTCTTCAACCCAAAATCACCCACATGCTCACGTTTACAGAATATAATAATACACATTAAATTTACATAACAACGCACCATCTTAGAGCATCGGGGCTCTTCCCTTTCTCTTCGCCTTTCAGGTTGTAGGGCAACTTGCCGGTCGTGAAATCTGCTTCCCTGAGTTGTCTCCCCCTTACGTAATACAGCGTTTCCTTGCTGGCGTTCTTGGGCTGAAAGTCTACCATATCCAGACCGAGAGCCTTGATTACCTTGTACAGACGTGGGTGCCAGTCAGGGACGAACCTCATGCCACCGAGTTCGATGTTCACGTCGGGGATGTGGGGTAACTTGGCGGTGTGTAGACGTCCTCCAATTCTGTCGGAGAATTCGTACACGTCGACGGTGAGGTTGCGACTACGTAGAAGCCAGGCCGTGTAGGCGCCTGCCACGCCCGCGCCGATGATGGCGATATCCGTGCAGTTATCTGATGAAGTTTAAATAATCAGTTTATGCACTTTCAAGAATTGTGAAGGGTAATATATACAACGTCGTTCAAAATAAAGGGTTACTAAAAAGTTTTTTTCAAGGCTAAAAGTCGATATATGTCTGAAAAAATGCTGAAGCGACGTTAACTTTTAACTCGACGACAAATACGCTCATGGGATACAAGAGAAGATCAGACTCGCAGCACCCCCCAGGGCCCACGAAGATCCCCTAAAATGGGGATATCGTGCTAACGCAGGCTGTCATGGCTGATAGTGTCATCGTAAGCCCAAGGCGTGGGCTGCCCTCTGTACCCGCAGAGCAGCGTAGATCGTTGCTCATGCCATCAGCCACTTGTTCACCTGACATTATTTACAGGTTGCTGGAATATATTTGTAACAATGCTCACTGCGACGAAAAGCATTCGAACTTACACGTTCGAATCTGTTTGTTCGCACTGATCCGAAAACACCTCTGACGTAGGCATAGAACATGTTTCACTGTCACTCACTCGCTCACTCACTCACTCACTCACTCACTCACTCAAAGGTTAGTGTCATTTGTCAGGATACAGACTATGGACTCTCTACTCAGCCAGTGTATATGATAAATGCTTGTTCATTCATTTTAATTAAATTCATTTTCTTCATAAATAATTCACTTCATGAATAAAAATCAAATGCACTTTTAAAACGATTATTACTAATAACGGAAATATCAGCTTACCATTTTCTACCGTTGTGCCGGGGGTGCGCCTGAACTTGTCCAGGCACAGATATTTACAACACCCTTCCACCTGGGCCACGTGTTTGCAGTTTTTGGGGGGAGGGGAACATGGGAGTTGTCTGCACATGCTGGGGAATCCCTTCTCGCATTTGCACGCCTTGCACGGCTCTTCTTTATGCGGTATGTATTCCTCCGCGTTATGAAACAGTGCTCCCTTGTAATCGGAGCATTTCAAAATGGCTGCCGTGTTTATCGTTACAAGGGCGCTTGCAAATATCACAACTAAGGCGGCACCGGTCATATTGTACCTGAAAATAAGAACTAAATTCCATGTACACAGTCAAGCACTCGTGTAAAAAAAATATTGTTTTTATTACAAAATCCCATTTATCTTTAAACTACATCCGCTGCTACTCACGCTGAACACAGATTAGTGTCTGATTCTCGCTGTAACGATAACTGGCTTCATACGAAAGTCGAGATAATTACAAGCATTCGCATGTACACTGACATGTCACCCAACGCTTTTAGGCTTGACGACATACTGCAATGGACGTTGACTTCAAAATATGACGTACATATCCTAAAAATACAATAATACTCAGTAATACTCATAATATTTCAGTTCAATGGACAAATTGTACTTCATAGCTTAAACATGTTCGACCATGCTATTGTTCTCGTAAAAAGGTTAATTCAAAGCAGGTGCATGCAGGTCAGGCGAACTTGCATTTTGAGGGGTCGTGAACATTGTTTCTTACGTCGACTTTTCATTCCTTTGCATTTACCCATAAAAAAACATTTATATACAATAATTACATGGACATTTAAACCGTTATAAAACCCATATCAATGTTTTGTCCTTCAAAATACCGAAAAGTGTGATCAGAAAGGATTTGAAGGAGTGTTAAACGTTCACTCACCTGTTGAGTCGGTGTGAAAATGACGGGTTACCGCTGGACTAAATTTCCGTGCATGTGTTGACAAGTGGAAAACATCAAGGGGCTGTCTCAAAACATTTGTCGTCACTTTTGAAGGCGTGAACTCGTCCATGCGATTACTGCCCATATCGCATACCCAGGCAGTATACTTTCACCTAGTTTTCACTTCCTACATTAAACTTTTATTGTATCATGTATTCTGTGTATATTTTTACATTTGAACTTGTGTATCAAATTTATGTATTATATATACCGAATTTCAGTATCGTATATATAATGTTACTGATTCATTATAAATCAATTCTCAACAATATATACTTTCCAATTCTAAGAAATTGTTGAGATGCCCCCTAAAACTTTCCAATTTCAAATAGTTTTCATAATATCAGTAACAGTATCTTCTAAAGGTCAGGAAAGGTCACTGGCCCCATTCACGTATTATGCAAGTCTCCTTTATTCACAAACTTGAAAAACCGGATTGTAGCTTTAGCAACGGCAATGTGCAAGTCAAACTGTTTACACATCATTCAAGTATTTACCACAAAGCAAACATGATACAGTCGAGCCTTTGAACCGGGTTCATTATCATAATAGGGTATTCGACCAGAGCCAGCAAGTGAGTGAGTGAGGGGGTTAAAATTTAACGTCGCATCGGCGTTATTTCAGCCATATAGCGATGAGACCAAGTTGATTTATTCACAATTGCGTCATTTATGCAAGGTTATATTTAAAAAAAAAATATGAAATATATTTGAGCATAACGATATCATGTATACAGTTTTAAAACACGGGCTATAGGCCACCAGTAACCATAGCTAGGCCACCTTGCTGGGGATCTTGGGGACTTACAGTACCTCGGCTTCCTGCATGATACCCCAGCAGGATTTACGTCATCACTTTAGCTACTGGTGGTGGTGCACAATGTAAACGAGAGGAAGGGGTTTTACCCTAAACCCTGCGTTGTAAGCTAAATGGGTGTTTTAGGATTTAGATCAGTTTCAGAGGACAAAGGGTTACGTGTAGTTTTTTTAAATGTAGTTTGAAGTCTGATTTCATTAGAGATTGTTTTTTTCGTATTTTGTAATAAAACAAAGCAGGGGCATATTTGGGTAGGAAGGAGTTCTGTGGACCACAGGAAATAGTTCGAGTCTTCCGTAGTTCGAGAGAAGCGGAGTGACGATGTTAATGTTTGTTTGTTTGTTGTTTTACGCCGCACTCAGCAATATTCCAGCTGTAAATAATCGAGCCTGGACCAGACAATCCAGTAATTGATATCATGAGCATCGACCCACACAATTCGGATTCGGCGATGTTAGGGAGTGAGTAAGTATGATCTTACGCCGCAATTGCAATATTCCAACAATATCACGGCTGTACACCAGAAATGGCTTCACAAATTGTACCCATTTGTAGAATCGAACCGGGTCTTTGTCATTACGAGCGAAGGCTTTAACTACTTGGCTACCCCACCGTCCAGTGACGAGATTAGACGTAGTGTTATTATAGGTGTATCGTCTTAAACGATATTCCGATCATTATTATCGAGTTAGGGGATATTTATTAAAACTACTGTAAAAATGTCGCTATGTTGTATGTACCAACTGACATTTCATGTGTATAGCAACTACAACACATCAACTGATATTCTCGTGACGACACATATAGTCTAAGACGTTCTCCCGCGCTAGGGCGGCATTCAAAGCAACGATGAATATTCATGTACAACCGTTAAATTAAAAGTTTCACGCTGTAAATCTGTTTTTTAAAACTCCAACGTCACGCTAGCTCGCAGTTGGAGCCCAGTTGCACAGAATTAACATCGCTTGTGTTGCACCCTTTCAGCTGCTGCGGGCGATGCAGTACGACCTCAGGAAAGATAAAGTGGAAACTCTGTTTACGTTATTAAAGTCAACAACTAAAAACATGACGCGTTCATTTTGCTGACGTCGAAGATGCTTTTTCTCCAACAGTGCTGCACCACAAAATATTAAATATGTTCACGAAATTAGGATCCGGGATAGGTTTCACAAAGCTATCTTAGCGTTACGGTGGTCCGTGTCCGGGTGTAGGGTTATCACTGTCGCATCACTAAGGGGTGTGAAGCGTGTGCAATGTAGAGGGAGTCGCAACTATCCAAGCCACTTGTGTAACCTTCAGTATTAAACACAGTATATACTGTATATGTATATTTATGATAACACAACACATACATTACTTCGCCTGGGCTGACAATGTTAGTCATGTTGTACATACTATTTGTATATTGTCTTACCTTATCCTTAGCTTTCCATTCACTTCCTGTTTTATCCATATTCCTGAATCTCACTCTCCTCTTATATTCCCAGAAAATGAAAACTCCAATATATATACAATCCATTCTTGTATTGCCATGCTATGTACACACTGATTCCTCGCTCAGCATATGGTCACAGCGTCCTAACATTCCCCGATCGTTAACCCAGAAGAAAAGTACGATTGTTCCCAGACTGAAACTGACATATGGGTAATGATATATCTCAGTATCGCGTTGCGATCGGGGTGTTCAACTGTGTTGTAAAGTCTTCTAACAGGTTGTGTCAATTGTTTATCTGCAAATCTTCCATCACAAAGTTTCTTTTGAACGAGCTGGACATAATGCATTATATTTTATCACTAGAAGTTAAAGCTTGTAACACTCGATTGTGCCTTTGTGTTCTGCAGGCTTATCTCGGCAATGTAAATGTAATTCTCGTACTCCTATTGTTAATACAGCTTGCAGGGGACGTTGAACTTAATCCTGGCCCACTGACCGGTGATGTAACTAATCTTGACCACTCATTGTCGATCTTCCATTTAAACACCAGGAGTGTCCGTAATAAGCAAAGGTATCTTGCAGAATATTTGTCTGAATATGATGTAGTTTGTTTCACTGAAACACATCTGGATGAATATGTAGGTAATGAAACTTTACAGTGGCAATCATTTCATAATCCATTACGGAAAGATAGAAATGCTTTTGGGGGAGGGGTTATGATATACATCACTAAGTGTTTAACATACAAGAGAATGCACGAACTAGAAAATATTACTGATGAAAGTATATGGATAAAAATATTTCTTCCTCAAGGGCCTTTATTACTCTGTGCTGTTTACAGACCAGAACACAATTCTATACAGTTTTGGAGTCGGTTAGATACTTCTATCGAAGTTGCATTGGACATATCTAGTAAAATGGTGATTGTCGGTGATTTAAATGAAAATTTATTATCTAACAGGAAAAACTACATAAACGAAATTTTACACAGAAAAAAATTAAGGAATGTAATTAATGAGCCCACCAGAGTCACTTCTAAATCTAGCACACTTTTAGATCCAATCATTGTTAGTGAAGATGTTGACGTAAAGGTCAGTGGTGTGATCGACTTCGATAGTACAATATCTGATCACAGAGGTACTTATATGGAAATGGACACTCAAATATGCACCAAGATAGCTTATAAACGCAAGGTTTTATGTTATAACAAAGGAGACTTTGTTAAATTGAATGATCTCATAAACACTACTAATTGGTCTGTATTATTTAATGAATGTACAAATGTTGATGATATGTGTGAAGTGTTGTATGAAAGATTGAATGATTTTGTAACACAATGTATTCCATCTAAAATTGTCACTATTCGACCAAATGACAAACCATGGTTTGATTCACATTTAAGAAAGGAGTGTAGGATACGTAATAGGTTACGAAAGAAATCAAAAAGGAGTAATAAGGAGACAGATATTATAGCATACAAAAAACAACGCAATAAAGTCAACAACATGAAAAGTTATGCGAAAGAAAAGTTCTATTCTAACATCGATGAATTTCTTTCGGAACTATATACAGTAAATAAACAATCATATTGGAAATTACTAAGATATGTCGTTAAAAACTCTGGAACATCTACGAGCATCCCCCCGTTAAGGAAACAAGATATCGATGACTATCCCACTATATTTTCAGATTTAGAAAAATCAGAGAGATTAAATGAATATTTCCAATCCATATCTACCCTAACAGAAGAACGGGAAGAATAACCATATTTCAATCAACGCACTAAGAGTATTTTTGACAAATTAACTGTCTCAGAAAATGAAATATCTGACGTTCTAAAATGTCTTCAAATTAACAAGGCATCTGGTCCAGACAGAATAAGTAACAACCTATTAAAGAAATCAGTAAACAGCATTAGTATTGTTTTATGTATGTTATTCAATCATTCATTGGCTTTAAATGCATATCCAACAGAATGGAAAAGAGCGCATGTTATGCCATTGTATAAGAAAGGAGATCATTCAGTTGTGACAAATTACAGACCAATATCACTCATTAGTTGTATTGGTAAAGTATTTGAAAGAGTTGTATTTAAGCATCTTTATAACTACTTTCATGACAATAAATTGTTATATAAATACCAGTCGGGCTTTCAAAAAGGCCATTCCACTGTCCATCAATTAATTGAATTGTATAATCAAATTTGTATATCTTTAGATAATAGAGAAAAATATTGCATGTTTTTTTGCGATGTGTCAAAAGCATTTGATCGTGTCTGGCATAGAGGGCTTATGTACAAATTAGAAATGTATGGTATAAAAGGGAATTTACTTGAATGGCTGTCCAGTTACATAAGCAATCGTACTCAATCAGTGTTTGTAAGCGGGGCTCTATCCAAGCCAAGGATTTTGAAGGCTGGCGTTCCACAGGGGTCGGTGTTGGGTCCCTTTTTATTCATTGTGTTTGTTAACGACATTGCTGATGAATTAGATTGCATAACAAGACTCTTTGCTGACGATACAGCACTCGGCTTTTCTTCACCAGACAGTCAACTTGTTGAATCAACTCTAAATTTAAATCTGAGCAAGCTGTGTAACTGAGCAAAACGCTGGTTAATTAAATACAACCGAGATAAAACAGAAGCGGTTATACTTTCCTTAAAAGATGAATCAGACCTCATTACCTTGTACTTTGATGAATGTAAAGTTAAGAATGTTCAAAATCATAAACATTTGGGTATAACGTTTGCATCAAACGGAAAATGGTCCTGTCACGTAGATAACATAATTAAGTCAACATCAAAAATGATAAATTCAATGAGAAAATTAAAATTCATATTGAACAGAAATACACTAAATAAAGTATATACAATCTTCATAAGACCCCATTTCGAATATGCGTCTGAAGTGAGGGATGGGTGTAATATAGAATTATCAACTCAGTTAGAAAATCTCCAACTAGAAGCTGCCATAGTAGTTACTGGGCTCCCAAAGTATACTTCGCACACACATCTGTATTATGAAACAGGATGGGAAACGTTAATAGAACGAAGAAGGAAACGCAAGCTATGTTTGTTCTACAAAATACAAAGTAATATTGCCCCAACTTACCTTAAAGACATTGTACCCACCACTGTAGGTTCAAATATATCATATAATTTAAGAAATTCAGACAATATTGAGATTCCATATACTAGATTAAAACCCTCAACGTGTTCTTTTATTCCATCAACTGTAAGGTTATGGAAAACTATTCCTGCAGCAGGTAGAAATTGTACATCTAGATCCCAATTCAAGACATACATACAAAAAGAGCAAGTCATTGCACCTCCATATTTTTCCTATGGTGTTAGAAAGTTGAATATTTATCATACTCGATTAAGATACATGAAAAGCCAGTTAAATTATGATTTATACAGAATAGAGGTAAAATGTGATCCAATATGTCAATGTGGTGATCCATGTGAAAACGCATATCATTATTTATTAAAGTGTCCATTGTATGTCCACCAAAGAAAAACTATGTTAATAATAATTCGGGACATTTTACAGAACGCCGTGAACAAAAATGCTAAATAAGATTTAAATTTGATGTTAAACGGAAATGAATGTTTGTCCATTATCGAAAATCAACACATCTTTAAAGCAGTGCAAATGTTTATAAGTCATACAAAGAGATTTGGGTAACACTTTAATGTACATATACTAGTCTCTCTCTTTTGTACATTTCTTGTTATCTCTCCACTCATCTTCTTTTCTGTTTTCCGTGTATATGATTTACTGTACAAGCTTTGTAAATACCATGGAGAGGGAGTCCTAAGTTGGACAACTTGTTCCCAATCCATTTCAATCTGAATAAAATATGTTTAAATCAACCTTCAGCTACCTTCCTGTTAATGGTCGTGTAACTTTATCAACAACATAGCTGTAGCTTCATATACCAGCTGACCATGGCGCTTTATGTTTTTTGTTTGTTTGTTTGTTGTTTAACGCCGCACTCAGCAATATTCCAGCTATATGATGTCGGTCTGTAAATAATCGAGTCTTGACCAGATGATCCAGTGATTGACATCATGAGCAGCGATCCACGCAATTGAGTGAGTATGGTTTTACGCCGCTTTTAGCAATATTCCAGCAATATCACGGCGGGGGAAAACAGAAATGGGCTTCACACATTATGCCAATGTCGGGAATCGAACCCGGGTCTTCGGCGTGACGAGCGAAGGCTTTAACCACTAGGGTACCCGACCGCCCCCCACGCAATTGAGATACGATGACATGCATCAACCAAGTCAGCGAGCCTGACCACCCGATCCCGTTAGTCGCCTCTTACGTCAAGCATAGTCGCCTTTTCCGGTAAGCTTGGGTTGCTGAAGACCTATTCTACCCCGAATCTTCCCGGGTCGCGCTTTATGTGACATGTCCACAGAATGCATGTAGGTTGCCACATCCTTTGGTTATAAGCCGTTGATCCAAGATACCGACCCTGCTTTTTATCACCTATCGTAGATACTGACCCTGCTTTTATCACCTGTCATAGATACTGACCCTGCTTTATATCGACTATCATAGATACTGACCCTGCTTTATATCACCATTATAGAAACTGACCCTGGTTTCTATCACCTATCGTAGACACTGACCCTGCTTTATATCACCTATCATAGATATTGACACTGTTTTATATCACCTATCATAGACACTGACCCTGCTTTATATCACCTATCATAGACACTGACCCTGCTTTATATCACCTATCATAGATATTGACACTGTTTTATATCACCTATCATAGATACTGACCCTGCTTTATATCACCTGTCACCGATATTGACACTGTTTTATATCACCTATCATAGACACTGACCCTGCTTTATATCACCTATCATAGACACTGACACTGTTTTATATCACCTATCATAGATACTGACCCTGCTTTATATCACCTAACATAGATACTGACCCCGCTTTATATCACCTATCATAGACACTGACCCTGTTTTATATCACCTATCATAGATACTGACCCTGCTTTATATCACCTATCATAGATACTGACCCTGTTTTATATCATCTATCTCAGATACTGACGCAGTGGTATGTCAACGACCTTAGATACTAAGTCTCTTATATATCAGCAATCCTATATGCTGGCGCAATTTTTATGTCAGCTATCCTAGATACTAACCCTGTTTTATATCAACCATCCTAGATCCCGGCGTGGTATTATATCAACTAGTCTAGATCCTAACCCTCTTTTATGTCAATTGATACAGATATATTATCGAATATCCTAGATACTTGCGTAGCATAATATCAACTAAACACTTGTGTTATCCCAAATATAACATTTGTTACATTTTACCACTTTGTAAATGGCATTGTGTGTCTTATAACTATCCTAGATACTGACACAGATATATACTGAACAACAAAAGTTCCTGTGACATTGATAATTCCAAGTTATGTTTTTTACCAAATCTGAAACAATTTCGGTTTGCAATAGATAAAAGACTCCTGTTAGTGTTCAAATGGTTTAATTTGCCATACTGACTTCAGAAAATGCGTGATTTCATAAAAAAAAACCACATGAACATGCCAAAATGTCAATT